GCCACGGAGCTGGACTACGGTAAGTGCCACCGTGCTGCTGGCACCGCACGGGCTGCAGCCCCTTCCCAGCCCCTCTGAGGTGCCGCCGTTCCTCTCGCAGCCATTTACCTGGCCAAGAAGAACATCCGCAAGCAGGGCGACCTGATCGAGCACGAGAAGGTGAGCGGTGCCCTCCCGTGATGAGCTGGGGGGTCTCAGCTCACCCAGGAGCAGGGGCTCCCCTGCGGTGGGGGCACCGGCACCGCGGGGAGTTGTGGTTGCCCTTCGGGCAACGGGACGCGGAGCCGGGCAAGGGGACAGGTACCACACCGTGCCCACCCGGGTGACGCTCCCCAGGACAACTACAACCTCCTGCACAAGCGGATCAATCACACGTGGGACTTCGTGGTGATGCAGGCGCGGGAGCAGCTGCGGTGAGTGCGGGCACGGCCGGGCCCGCCGCGCCCCGGGGAGCGGCCGGGACGGAGCCCCCGCGGGTGCGGGGCAGGCGGGGTGCGGGGTGCCAGCGCTCCCCCGCTGCCTCTGCACGGGCAGGGCGGCCAAGCAGCGGCGGAAGGGCGACCGCATCGTCATCGACTGCCAGGAGCAGGCGTTCTGGCTCGTCAACCGGCCCCCGGTGAGCACCGCGGGGGTGCCGTGCTGGCGGGTGAAGCCCTGGGAAGCGCCCTGGCACCACACACAGCCCCAGCCTGGGGAGCAGGGTTGGGGGGCACAGAGCCCCAGCCTCCAGCACGATGCTCTCTTTGCAGCCGGGAGCCCCCAATGTGCTGGAGCAGGGCCCCGAGCGCAGGAACTGCCACACCACCCGTGTCCAGCTGGTGAGTGGAGGGGTCCAGACACCCCTGGGGCTGTCAGTGGGCAAAGGGCACAGCCATGTGCCTGTGACAGAGTGCTGAGCTGCCCCAGTGGGTGCCCATCCATCCCACCACAGGCTCTGTCCACATTTTGGGGAGGGAGGGGGGGTGGTGAGCCCCAGCTCTGCTAACATCTGTGTGTCCACCCTG